AGTACTGCCCCCAGGCAGCAGTTGCAAACAGCATCACTACTTGCCTAGGAGAAAAAGGGAATGGTTTAGCAGTGATAGCAGCATCACTTCTGCACAGCACTCAACCACGTTCAGAACCTGCCTCCCCCTAAAGGAACCCCTCCTCTTCCTAAAGGAGCAGCAAAAGCATGAAAATCAGAAGCAGAGGACTCATTACAGCAACGTAGTGAGGAAGTTTTATTCGGAAACATGGTATAAGTTTGTAACCCAACACTGGGTGCACGACTCTGATGCCGGAGCATACGCAGTTACTACTGAAACACAGGAGTGTTTCGGACAATTGCTGTAATAAAACACAAAATTCTCATACTCCAATACCAGGACACTACAGCAATCTTTAGAATCATAGTTACATCCAAGGAATTCTCTGCACTTACAATTGACCCCACAGTGTAATCTACCTATATATAAGATTAATATATATAGCATGGGAAATTGAAAATCCTTGCTCCATAGATGTATGAACATGTCAAGTCTTTTATAAATAAACATCCAGTGAAGAGAAAAAATTACATTTCTAGTTCATATTTATACATAAAGTACTAACAGCAATGGGTGGAAAATTGCACACGGGCCACCCCAAGCCATGCAGCAGGCTTGGAGCAGCCCATCCAATTTAATATTGAAGTACACACAGGACAGACAAGTCACTAACATACATTGCGCATTTACAAGAGATCAACTACCAAATTGGGACAACTGTACACATTGGAGAGACCATTTTCATTCTGGAGCTTTTTTTTTTTTAAATGTGGATTTGTTACATCTCTTTACATCATACCACAACGTTTACTTTGTGGAGAGGATAAGGGCAACAATGAGGCCATAGAGACCCAACACTTCAGCAAAGATCAAAATCAGGATCATGCCCACAAATAACCTGGGCTGCTGTGCTGTTCCCCGTACACCGGCATCACCCACGATGCCAATGGCAAAGCCAGCAGCCAGACCGCTGAGGCCCACACTCAAGCCAGCACCCAGCTGAAGAAAGCTCCTGTAGGACAGAGATGAGAAGAATGTCATCAGCAAGCAACAGGACACCCAACCCTTCAACTTCAGGCTAGCCCTTTTTTTGCTCTCCCAAAGGAAATATGAACTAACATTTAAAGGGAATCCCTTTCCTGCAGAAAGAGCTTCTATACTCCTTAAGCAAGCCCAGTGTGTCTCAAAGCAGATCCTTCCTGAGACTCCTAGTTCTGCTACTTAAAGAAAAAAAAAAAAAAAGGCAGCTATGCAAGGTCTTTAGCTAATATTCAGGAATGGCTCATACACTAAGCTAAGCTACTGGGCCTGCCAGTTCACACAGCCTCGCAGCTTGTCTGTAGCCACTTCAGCCACCTGCAGGCTCAACACAGGCCAGAGCTGTGCTCACTCTGGCCACGGGGGCTAGCACTTGCAGTAACGTCTGTCCCACAGTGCTGTGTAGCCTATTAATAGCTGCTTTTGTCTCCCAGCTTTAGCAACCTTATTATACAACCATAGCACATCCAGGTGACTATTAAGTCTATTGTACTGCAAGAGTTAGACAGGAATGGTCTGGTCTTCCAGGCAGGGGTACCTGAGCAGCAGGCCCTGTCAGCCTCTGGCCACCTGGTCACTGCCAAGGAGCATCTGTACCTGCTTTCTCTTACATCATGGCTTATTAGGCCAACAACGCTACTCACACGTTATAGCTTGTACAGTGACACATGTAGTTGCTCTGTTAGACCTCAGCAGCATTGTTTTATTCTGAGTGGTCTCAATCAAGCCAGTTCCAGCTATTCTCAAAAGCCAAGAGCAGATTAAGTTTCAGACTGTAGCTGGTGTAGAGGCCCAATGTATAACTTGAGGATTGATTTACCAGCACATAAAGCAGCAAGCAATATTAATTATTCACTTGCATCTCCCAGGCAACAGGAGAACTATTTAGACAGTCTGATTAGACAGTCTTGGAAAGACCTGTGTATTCCAGGCCTACAATTTGGCACCATGAAACAAGCTTTGCCTCCTATCCCAGTACTGCCTGCACATGGTTGCTTTCAAGCCATGAACCGCTACGTTCTCTAGCGCTGGGATGCCTGATCTGTTAGCTAATACGGCAAACTGATCAGGCAGCACTGCCACCAAAGCTAAGGCGTCAGAGGTAGGACAGCTGAAATCCAGTCCATGCTGCTGAGCCCAGGTTCAGGGCATTTACCACTGACAGTCCTCCCTGGGGTCTTGAGCACAGCCCACCCGTTCAGCAGCACCGAAATAGCAACAGGAGAAACTTCAACAAAACAGAGATGCAGCAACTTACTTGAATAGTGTGATAGAAGGTGAAAGGGCATTGGCAATGAGGACTGCCACTACGAGGCCATAGATAGCTATAATACCCGCCATGACAACGGGGATGATTGACTTCATGATGAGCTCAGGCCTCATGACAGACATGGCTGCAATACCCGTGCCACTCTTTGCTGTTCCATACGCAGCTCCCAAGGCTGGAAGAGAACAAAAAAACCTCATTAGACACATCCCCAGATACCATCTCCTTCACTAGGCTGTAGTATTAGAACAGTTGAGTCAGCACAAGGAGGAACTGTGCAAAACTAACAGTCACTTGACTACTTGGTTTGTCAGCCAGGAATATTCCCCTAAGGGACAAGGAAGTAACCTATCCAGAGTCCCAGACCAAAGCTAGATCAATAAAAAGGTGCTGTTCAAACAGCACTGATAACAGAACAGCCTCCCTAAGCTACCTTCACAGCAGGGTATACTCCCTAGCCAGCATTCATTCCCTGTTTAGGAACCAAAACTGCAGGTCCCAATCTTAACTTGCTACTTCAGAGTTTGTGCCCTCACAGAGCCCACGCTGCGAGGCTGTACTCAGCAGAACTGCAGAGGAAACACAGCAAAGCATGTCTTGCTACTGCAGCAGGATGTAACCCGGCTGAAAGACAGGTTTTACAGTCACTGACCTTTCAGCCTCACAGGCTGAGTTCTCAGATACACTCAACATTTAACAAGTCACCTTCATGGGGTCCTCTTCTTCCACAAAACCTATGCCTTGGCCTGGGGTTAAACATGCCATTTCAGCTTCATCAGAAACATATCGAGATAGCAACAAACTCACATAATATTGCTGAACTTCATTCCTTGGAGAAAGGACACCCTCTTCATGTGTTAGTAACCTCATCTGGGAAGGATTCAGGTCCAAACATTTAAGCCAACCACTGGAACCACAGACAGTATGGCTTGTGGGCCACAGAGGACTACAAACCACCTTACCCCTAAGGATCAGTGATCACCTGTGTAAAAACTTAAGCATGCAGAGAGACCAACACAGGAACCCAAAGCCTGGTCTTCAAAGCAGAACATGGGCTTATCACTGAGTACAGCTAGAAGAGTCCCAAAGCACTACCCCAAAAACTAACTTCTGCCTTGAACGGTGTCACAAAAGCTTCCACGAATACCTCATTCTTTGATTCCGAAGGACTTGGAAAGATCCCTTTCTTTCCAACCCTGCTCTGGAGTACTGCAGCAACTCCTTAACTCTGGATTGCACTCACTATCACCCAGGAGACAATACACAGGTCAGCGGCCATCCAGGACTAAGTCCTTGAAGCAGCACTGCAAGGTACGCAGAAGGGTAGGTAGTCTCCTTTGCAGACACCATCAGGTTGACATTCAAAGGTAACAGTTCTATTTAGCACAAAAATGCTCTTGCCTGCTCTAAAAGGCTACTGGGGAGTATTGAAACCACGGGGACTTCAAATCTTTGTACTGTTCAGAGACTATTTGAGTTTGCTCCACCTGCTTAAAAACTAGTATTTTTGCAAGGGAGAGCTGCTTTTTCCACACAGATCCGTAGCTGCCTTATGCCAGCATCCAAGTGTGAAATAGTGCACCTTGCCCACAAAGAGTTGTGGGAGGTATTCAAAGGGTTTAGGATGTGTGCTTTCCTGCTTCTCCCTCAGCATTTACATAAAGCCTATCTTTGAGCAGTCAAGAACTGAGCATCAATCCTCCTGGCCTTGCACTAAGAAACTTCAGAAGATTAATAAAGGTAGCACCACTGCACTAACACAAGACTTGCTATAAGAAGGAAGTTTAGTTTTAGTTACAAAAACTTGAAGGGAAAACCTCATTATCAACTCACCATTGGTTCTGTACTAGCAAAGCTCGTGAACCTTGACTGTCACTGAGCCACATGTGAAGGACTGTTCAGCACAGATCAGAACTAGAATCCAGCTTAGCAGAAAGCCTGACCCAAGAGCAGAAGACAGGTTTTACCTGCAAATGTAAGCTGAGCCTGGAAACTAGTGCACAGACTTAGCTAGCAGGATCAGTGATGGTACTGTTGAAGGGTCTAACCCCTAGGAACTTTAGAAAGAAATCACTAACTTACATTAGGAACCTCTTCTGTTGGATGAAGCATCTTCTAAGGACTAGAAGTAAGTGGAATCAAGATTCAGGCTATCTAGACTTCTAGACTGCCTACAGCATTTAGCAGAAACCACTTCTCTTCTCTGGAATCTTTTATAAGCCGCTCTAGAAACATAGAGGCTCATGAGGGAAGTACACTGTTTAAAATTAGATCAGTCATTACTTCCTCCAAGTCTGAATATACTTAAAGGTGTTGCAATTAATGCAGTGATGGATTACAGAAGCTGATTTTGTAATCCCACTTACAGAAAGCCAGCCTGCTTAAGCTTTCGGGGATGGGCAGATCAGCACAAGTTTGTCAATTCCCAGTTGTTAAATCCCAATTCTAGGGAACAGGCAAGAGCTTATGCCTTGAACTTGTTCTAGACACATTAACAAATAAAGTCTGTGTACTCTGTGGCAGCTAGTTTTCACGTGACAGTAGTAGATGGCACTGAAGATCCATTACACTCCCACTGGTGGGCAGCCACAGGTGCTACAAATACAGCTTCAGAGCTTGGCACATCTCAGCATCCTGACCAACAGGCTTGCGCTGCAGTCCCTTGCAGCTGCATCTCCAGTATCTTACAGTGCAGCATGTCTTCCTGCTCTTCACTAGCCCGAGTTCTCCTTGCACCATGGACAATACCCCAGTATTGCAGTGCAGGTGGCAAAGATGATATCCACTTCCCACCATGACACAGGCATCTAATGGCACAGCTGTTCAGTTATGGGCTATTTGGCACTTAGGTCAGTCCTCCTGCACATCCTGACTTACACCTCTTGGCAGCTGCCAATGTTTGATGCACATGTGCTTCAGGTGCTGCATTTAAGTACTCCAATGAGTTGGAAGGACATGTTTTACAAAATCTTCTCAGTGACCGGGTTTGAAGATATCTGTGTGGAAGACAGTGAAAATGGAACAAGAGCTGTACCACTGTTTCACACCAAGGCTCCATGTATTTGCTTCAGATCACACAGCCCCACCACCTCTAGCATGCAGACCAGTTAAGCTGCAACACTATCTTAAATAAAGTATACAAACACAGAGCTATCAAAATATTTACCTGGTAGCCAGAGAAGCAGCACTTCAGCTTCCTTCTGTGATAAAGCTAGGTGGCATTCTGGCCTATAACCAGCAACTATGCCATTTGTAAGTCCAGTGGCATTATATATAATACACAGAAGTTGCTTTACACATCATTCAAGACCACCTACTTCCAGTAAGCCTGTTTCAAAGGTTGACTTGATTTTGAAATACTTCTGAAGAGTAACTCCTTGAACTCACAAGCCAGAGTTGATTTAGTACTGCTCCTGGGGGCAAAACGCACTCCCACAGGGCTGCGGATATGCTGCCTGGCACCTCGCCATAGCTGTTACTTTCTATTAGTCAAAAGCGGTAGTGTAGCTGTGCCGCTCCGAGATGAAGTACGAGCTAGAAAGTAACTTGCTATATAGGCAATAGCTGCAGTAAGGACTGAAGACTAATAGTCTTGCTACTGCCAGGACTTTCGGTAGAGCTTTGCCTCTGACATTCACCCTCAGTACTTGAGCAGCCTGTGGTTTAAATCAAATGCTAGTCCAAGCATTAGGACCAATCTTTTGTAGCTATAGTTACACTGCTCTGTAAGGTCATGCACCAAGAACGTTAATCTTGCAGCTAAGTTAGCTGCAAGTAACCTCATGCGACACTCCCTCAACATAGAAAAAGGCTATTACCAAAAGCCTTGCTTTGCTTCTGCAAAGCTCTGCAGGCAGACACGCGCCTATGAACAGGGACCACCTTATCAGGGGCCTTCAAGCCAGGGGACTATTTGCATAGATGCAGTTTCAGCAGTTGCGATGAAGTCACACACACTCAGCGCAAGAATACAGTGGTTCAGAACCAGCCACACACCCTCCAGCAGCATTCAGTCCATTCACAGCCATCACAGTGATTCCTCCCGCATCCCACCATGGAGAAGCAGGTTTTCACACTGCAACGTGTGAAACATTCCCAGAGCACTAACAGGCAGAATGTCCCTGCATTAGGGAGTCTGCTAGTAACTAAAGTACAAGTTTCAATTAAGATACCATGGGTTACTATCATAGCAAGTCTGAAAGACCATTCTGGATGAGTACTTACATCTGGAGCCTTTTATAATGAACCCATTATCAAATGGGCTGCCCTCTGCAGTAGGTAGGCTTCCCTTGAACCAGAAAGCAGGCATCAATTCACCTCAACGCCTGTTCATCCTTCAGCAGATTGTTCTTAAATGGCTGGAGGTCTGTTAGAGGTGATATCCAGGTCAAGTACAGTCCTTGCTTCACCATGCCAGAAACCTGGGCATTTTCAAAGAAACAGGCTTCTTCCCACTGGTATTCTAAGGCCCCTCCCACACCACCACATTTAACACAAACACAGCTCTACCTCAGATTACAGTAATGGATACTGCATGGCTGCCTTGGAAAAACCCTGTTGCTATGCCCAGCTGCATCTCCACAGAAGAGACAGCCACATTAGTGGAACCATACCTGGAGCCTATGCAAATTGAGATCACACTGGCTGAAGGCTGGCTGCAGCCAGTCCCCCAGTGATAACTGGAGGGGTAAACAGATAAGCTGCCCTACAGGAAGCTGCAGACTTCAAAAATCTTTAGTGAGTCACCTGTTAGAGGATTAGGGACAGCATGCTTTTTGTTCTTCCCTAATGTTATGAAGGGGTGCGGGGATTTCAAACAAGCCTAGCACTGTCAGCTTACAGCACTACCAAAAACAACCTGCAAGGCTAGCTGGCCATTTACTCTTGTTCAGTAAATTTGAGAACTTACAAGTCTACCAGCTCCTCAAGAAGCTGCTGCAATGACAGCAGTCCAAAGAAAAAAGGACTTACCAGTCAACTGTCCAAGCAGCTGGGACTACTGCAGTTGGCACTCTGGATTGTCTGACATAGCACACAATAATATTTTTTTTTTTTTTTAGTATGGTGAAGCAGAGACTTTACACCACAGACTACAGGCTTGCTCTCCTGCAAGAAGCAAAGTCCAGTCACTTGTTATTGATTGTTCTTTATCATAATCACACAAGCTCTG